GGGCGGCCTTGGCGAAGCCTTGGGTTCCCCGCAGGCCTGAGAAACACCGACCGACGTTTCTGGAAAGAAGGCCTCCGCCTACTCAGAATGCCTGCGTTTGGTGAGAAAACGGCAACTGAAACGCTCTGTACCAGCACTGGAATCTGCTGCCGGCTGGCGGAGAAGCACCCATTCAAAGCAACAGACCCGGCTTTGTAATGTTTCAAGATGTACAGCCAGAGTTCTTGCTCTTGCTCAGGAACTAGGTGTCCCAGCCCCCAACGGCAACAGCAACAACAAACGACATGGACAACAACTCTGAGAGTCATCGCGCCTCTGATGTGAAAAGGGAACGCAGTCTGTAACCAGTGACACGAAAGTGCTCTGGGTCCTGCTTCCGGAAACGGCTCTGATTCTCAGTCCTCTGCTCCCAACGTCCAGGGCGTCCCCCCCGCTTGGAGCGTGAAGGCCCCGCCCCTAGGTCCTGTGCCCACGGCGCTTCTCCCGCCTCAGCCTGACTCTTGCTCCTCTGAAGTCCTCTGGGCCCCGTCTGGGCAGGAGCTGGGGGGACCAGCCTCTTTCCTGCCGCCTGCCGCCCGCCTCCCTCCCCCTTACAGCCCGCTCTCTTTTCCGGGTCCCCAGAATGGCAGTGCAGTGGGCTTCCAGGGGTCCAGGCCAATCGCTGCTCTGCTCCGCCTGATCCCTCCGCGGCCCCCGGCCGGCAGGCCAGCGGCGAGGCCTCTCCGCAGGGCATGAGGCTCACAGGGCCGCTCCTGCCCAGCTCTCCGCTCTCCTCCGTCCCCGTCACTCGTCACTCCCTAACACCGAGTCACAGCCCCGTGGGTGCCACGCCCTCCGCCCCATGCTGCTCTGCTCAGGGACTCAGCACCTACAGCGCCAAATGGCCAAATGCTCGTCTTTAAAGGGACTGTTCCTCAGGCATTTCCTCTGACAATGACCTTGCCACCCTGCCCCAGGTCCGAGCACCTGGGCCGCTCCCCCTCCCCCGGCCCCGCACAGCCCTGACCTTGTTCAGCTTTCTGACTCCCCTACGGGGCTGCGGGCTCCTAGGCACAGGGACCACTCGTAATCGTGTCCCCAGTGCCCCGCCCCCAAAAGAGGCGCAACAACACGTCCAGAACGAACACGCCACCCGAGTGCAATCGCCGCGCTCTGCTCCTTAGACTTCGAATGTCACAGCTGCAGACTCCCTGCGGTTCCCGGTAAACCTGCACACACCGCACACACGCGTGCACACACACAGGTACATGCGCGCGCACAGGGCCAGGGAGGAGTTAGGATGAGAGGCGTCAGGCCTGCGCTCCCCTGCTGTGCGTTCGGGTGCTTCTCTGCGCTTCCAGGGCAGGGGCGGCGGGCGGCGGGCGCGCGAGGAGACAGGCAGAGGAGAGCTCCTGCCCCCGCTGCGGCTGCACTCTTTTTGGCAGATGCAGGCAGGAGGGTTTCCCAGCACTTGCTTATGAAAAGAGGCCACCGCTGGGAGGAGGCCCTGGCAGACCCTCGGACAAGGGCAAGGGGCCCAACCCGGGGCTGCTTTCTGCAGCAGTGGCCACCTCCGGGGCCTGAGTGCCCACAGCCCTTTCCCTGCGCCTCCCCCGCGGCCCAGCTGTGCAGGAGACTCCTGGGGGCTGAGCCCCTCAGGTCACGCCTGTAGCGGCCGCACCACCCACCTGCATCTCTGTGGCCAGAGCCCTCCCTCGCCCTGGGCACTGTCACCCCCTCAGGGCACCCCTGAGGCCGGCCATCAGCCAGGATGGGGAAGGTGGGGTGGGCGGGGTCATCTGGGGGAAGGAGGAGCTCGCGTTTCTCTGGGGTGCTCCGTGGGGTGCTCCGTGGGGTGACCACGGCGGGGGGCTGAAACCCAGGACAGCTGGGCTGGAGGTTTTCGCGTCCACACTGACCCCCCACAGCGGCGCCTGGTCTCGAGGAGGCCGTGCTAGGAGGCCCTGTCTGCCCGCCGGGCCTCAGGTTGACACGGAGGGGCCAGCACTCGTCTGAGACCCGCCCGAGGCAGCCGCTGCCCCAGGCAGGGGTTCATTCTTCGATGCCACCCACAGAGAGGTCACCATGCGAGGCGGTGGTTCCTCCCATCTTTACAGCATTTCACAGTTTACAGGGCTCGCGGGTTGGATCATACAGCAACCTCTCGTGCGAACAGGTGCGTGACCATCGCCCTCTACTTACAAACGGGCATCAGAGCTGCCCAGGGTGTAAATGACTTGCCCACAGAACCCCCTCCCTCACAAGCGGCAGAGGACCAGGGGGCTCAAACAACCTCAGGGTCCCCAGCGAGTCACTTGGTACTTCTACCTGGTGCGGGGAATCTTGCTGCTGACATTTGGTCAGAGTGTCAGCATTTTTAAAACCTGCACCTGAGACTCAACAGCTCCAGGGCCTTCACAGTCAAAATGCAGCTCAGGGGCGGCAGCGCCCGCACCCCAGAAGCGCATTAAGCAAGCGGAATCTCAGACCCACTCAGACCTACAGAACTGGTGCCAGCCCTCTGACAAGGATCGGGTGACCCTCAGGTGGGAGGGGCTCTGTGCCTTATTCTCTCTGCTCTGGCTGGCTTTTCTAGCTCCCGCTGGGGAAGTCGCTGGAGCGGGGAGGGCTGGAGAGAAGAAACTTCCACCTGACCACGCCCCCTCCACCCCCCAGGACCACACGGCAGGCAGGTGGGCCTGCCCAGCCTCCCTCTCTGTGAGGAGGCTCTCCCCCTTTCTCCTCCCGACCCCGGCTCCCCGCCGGAGCACTTTCAGCTGGGGACACCCCTCCCTGGCTGGCTCCAGATCTTCCGCAATCCAGCATTAATTTCAACAAAGCACAAAAATGAAGATGTAACTTCAGTTTTCCTTGATGTCTGGCAATCCTTTAAACGTCTGTTTCGAGAACTCTCAGTGGGATGACGGACAGGGCCGTGACTTCCTAGGCCTGTGACATGAGAACCTCTCTCCCCCTTTTTGGAGAAAGAGCCTCTCTTCAGCCGCCAGGGTGTGTGCGACCTGACACACACGCAGCGAGGAGTGGGCACACTAGCTGCCCCGCTTAGCCACAGGGCTTCGCAGCTTCCTCGCGCACGGACGGCCTAGAGAGGAGCGGCTAAGCTTTATCACAGAAACTGGATGAGGTCTAACTGGCTTTGCTAGTCAAGCTCTGATTACAACCCCTCTCCTCCCCTCCCCTGTTCTCCAGCTGACGGTCAGTCACCGTAATCCTTTCTTGAGTCTCCTCCTATCATATACTTTTTACAGGAAGAGTGTGCTAGAGTCAGGTGTTGCTAGCGTTCTATGTTTAACTAGTCAACTTCCAGGACCTCTCATTTTTTCCCTTCCTTGACCTTAAAGCGCATTGTTTTCAGCACAGTGAACTGGGCCGAAATCTCCATCGAGAATGGGCACATAAGCTCACTGTTCACTTCTGCTGGCGGCTGCAGTGTCAGATCATAGTCAGTGCAGAGAAAGGCAAAACTCCTGATTACAAATTAAGTTCGCTCAGGGCTACTTAACTGCTAAATAGGCTGTTTGCTGAATGTTTGCTTTTCTCTGTGACTAAGAGCAGACCCTTCTTTTTCTCTTGCCTTAGGACAATCTTGGGCCCTATCAAAGGTTCTCAGCGATTTGTTTCAGTCTGCCTTTGGTTGGCACCCGAGGGAAGCTGAGCACAGGTTCAGAGGTGGCATGGGAAGCGTCTCTTCAGCCATTTCTGGCTGAGTCAACAGGGAGCCTGCCTGGGCCTGGGTTCCAGTCTGGCTTTCGGCCCCCACATGCCTTGTCTCCAGAAGTCACTCCGAACCCTCTTCACTAAGGAGACACGTGAGGCTGGCCTGGGACTCAGCAGCGCTCCATCCGGCCCCTCCTCTGGAAGCGGTGCCCTGACTTACAGCCCGGCTTCTCACAGGGGCCCGGCCGAACCCCCGAGGCGTCAAAGGCGTTCGCACACCCCCAACTGTGATGCGCGGTGACGTTCAGTGGGCTTCCAGGGAGACTCGGAGCTGAGTCCAGACCTCCGTTCCCAGGCCCGCCCACTCCTTGGCCCCAGCGATGTGCTCAGCAATCCTGTGACTTCTAAGGGAAACTTTGGGACACAGCTGAGCCTGAAGAGGATGGGGGATGGGACAAGGCGACTGTAGAAGGGGCATGTTCAGTGGAGGAGGGGTGGAGATCCTTCAGCTTTCAAATTTCTCCCACCTCTGGGACTGACCTCTGAGAGGTGAGTTTCCAGGGCCTACCTGACCGCCTTGGCCAGTGTTCTTTCTTGTTTTGTTTTACTTTTTCCTCAGTAGGTCTGATTTGGGCCAGCAGGAAGCCCTGTCGCCCACGGAAGGCCTCCGTGGTGGGCTGCCGTGAGCCCCAGTCACGGGCACTGGTGGGGAGCAGGGTCCAACACCAACAACGCGACGCCGGAGGAGGGCTGGGGAGGCGAGGGGCTGGGGCCAAGCTTCCAGGCTCCTTCTGAGACGGACACCAAAGCAGGGGACTCCACGTGAGAAAATAAAGTCAGCCAAGTCCAGATGCTGCTTTGATTTTCATAGCCACACGGCCTGGCGTTGGGAGCGGTGCTGTCACATGAGCTAAGGGGTGGCGGCAGGGGTTGGAAGGGGGACGAGAAGTCACATCCTTGCAAGAACATCTGAGAGGCGCTGAGCGCAGGAAGCAGCCGAGTCACCTGGTTCCACCCGTCCCCGGCTGAGGAGGGAAATGGGGCCACTGAGCCCCCCACTTCCGCCCTCTCTGGGGATCTGCCCTAGGCCACTGTGGAAGATGCCACCTTCTCCTGTTGCATGTAAAGGAGCTCCCAGGACCGAGGGGCGGAGGAGCAGGTAGGTACTCACCACCCTGAGGGGAGAGAGAATTCGAGTCCCATCCCACCAAGACCTCAGGTGACCCTGTGACTTGTCAGCACCGCCCCTGGCCTGTCCCGGCGCCCGCATCAGAGCATTGGCCCTGGGAGAGCAGCAGAGCCCGGGCACCGTCCCCCCTCCCCCCAACGCCCGGGAGGCCTACCTGTACCGCTGCCTCACCGACTGCCTCTCCGCGGCCTTGCACACGTGGCCCGCATAGTACAGCAGGAAGAACAAGCAGTTCCAGGTGGTGGCGAACCAGGTCAGGGTGAAGGGCGCGTCGAACGTCCGGAAGGTCAGCTTGGCCAGCTGCGTGGAGCCGGCCCAGGAGGCGCACACGCACAGCACCACCGCCAGGCCCCAGGTCAGCTTGCGCAGCCGCGGCCCCGAGCACCTGCAGCAGCGGCGGCTGGCCCTCCCGGCCTCCGCCCCCGCTGCGGCCTCTGCGGGGCCCGGGCCGTCCCGGGGGCGCTCCTCCCCTGCGGAGAGAAGGCGGTCAGGTCAGTGGGCTCCCGCCTTCCCCGCGCCCAGGGCGTGGCACCCACTGCCCTGTGCACGGGGGCCGGACGGCTCCCTGAAACAGAACTTAAAGAGCAGGGCACCCACCCGACTGGCAGGATCATAGCCAGCCACCCCGGGGAGAGGGTGCGGAGGGGGCTCTTCCTAAAATAAAACTTAAATAGAAGACCTTTCTGTTGGATTTCTTATCCTCTAGAAACTTGATCCCCAAGCAAGGCCCACGGACTGGCAGCATCAGCCCCTTCCCATGCCCAGCTTGCTGGGAACGCATAGTGTCAGGCTGAACCCCAGAGCCCCAGACCCAGAATCTGCATTTCACGCCCTGGGAAACCCTTCCCCAGGACACATGGATGGGGAGCAGCTTCCTGCAGTCTGTGTCTGCGCCCGAGCTGCTGTGCTCCTGGGCCCGGGGAGGCGCCAGGGGCTAGGTTCCTACCCGAGGGGGCCCCAGGCCTTGGGCTCTGCAAGCTCCCAGCGCCCAGACGGAAGCCCCTCCCTGTCTGTCACTTAAAGGCATGGATGGATGCCAAGATTCTCATCTCATTTGGCATGTCTGGCAGAAATCGACTTTCACCTCTTATCTCTTTATTGGCTCTGACTGGCTTCCTGCCCACGGCCTTCAGTCCCACTTAAACACCTCAGCCTCAGGTGGCTGGTGTGTGAAAGGCCCGCTTGCCCGCTGCGCTCCAGCTGTGCGACTTCCGCAGCCAGGCTGCGGCCGCGTTGTTCCCGCAGACCACGAGAAGGTGGGAGAGGCGCTCTTCCCGGCTGCTGGGTTTTCATTCATGACGGCGTGCGTGTCAGTCAGGTGGAAAGCCACACAGAGCTGTGCCTGCGTGAGGTGGAGCCGTGGATGGATGCAAGGTGCAGGAGAGGGGAACGCGCCCTTGCCGTCTGACCGGGCAAGCAGCGCCGCGGGCACACAGCGCTCAGGGGCCGGCTCCGCTGCAGCGGTGCAGGAGGGAGCGCAAAACTTCTGGGGTCAAACACACTCTATGTATTTTGTTTAAACTTAATAATTCTTTAAGGAGCTTTAACCACATTAAACCAAGTTTTGTCTGTCATGCTTTCTGGCACATAATAATCCTGTGGGGCAAAATCCTGGTTCAAGACCCTCTATGACACAGGTGTCAGTTAATGTTATCATTCACGGCCAGCCCTGGATGATCCGTTTTTGCTAAAGGTAATCCCAAGCTTTATATGGTTAGTCAAGGAGACATACTGTCCTTTTTTGGCCCACATCCTGCTCGATGCCCTCTATATTATGCTTCATTGCCTTTGTTAATATATAACCTCCCTCTTCCTGTTACTTTCATGTGTGTTGGTCCTGGTCAGAAAGCCCTCGGGGAACCCAATGCCTAACCACCCCTGGGCTTCCGGCAGGCCGTCTGTCTGTCTGTGTCGGGGCTGCAGGGCAGGGAGAAGCAGAGGAGGACAGAGGACGGAGGCGGGCAGCCACCAGGCCTCTACTGTTGGCGGAATCCCCGTGATTAAGGCTAATTCAGCGTCAGTATGTACACGTGGGTGACCTGACATTGGGGGTTATCCTCTGTGACCCCTCATTACGATCACTGTCAAGCCGCCTTCAGGGTGAGGGCGGTTTCCCGACCACCTCCTCCCTGTCAGAAACTCACTCTGGAAAGATAACTATAGAGCTGGAAGTCTGTGTAGAAATAAAATGCGGCTTCACAGTTCTAACTCCCTGTTAAGAATGGACTCCGGACGAGGCTGAAGGAATTTCGGCACACAGTGTGTTTTTCTACTTGGTTCTTCATTACAGAAAATAAAGTTTTAAACTTACGGAATTAATGAGTGGGTCAAAAAACTACAGTACATTTACACATGGAATACTATGCAGCAGGAAGAAAGGAAGAGCTACTACTCTCCGCGACAGCATGGATGGTACTGGAGAGCATGATGCTCAGTGAAATAAGCCAGGGGGCGAAAGACAAATACCATATGATCTCACCTATACATGGAACCTAACCAACAAAACAGACAAGCAAAGAAAATACAACCAGCAACACTGAAAGAAAAAAGAGACCAACAGAATCAAGAGGGCAGGAGGGAGGAGGGGCGAGGAAAGGGAAGGAAGGGTCAAGTCAAGGAACATGTGTAAAGGACCCATGGACAAAGCCAAAGTGGGGGAGGATTGAGGGCGGGAGGTGGGGGAGGGGGGCAGGGGAAAGTGGTGGCCGGAGGTGGAGACAAATGTATTCGAACAATTAAATAAATAAATAAATAAATAAAGACAGCAAACGTGTAGAAAAAGTTTAAAAAAACTTACGGAATTAAGTGATGACATGCTGCGTAGCTGTTACGGTGAAAAGAAAAAACCACCAAATCATGTAACATTGTCTTGCTGAAAGGCTCCTACAGATTTGGATTCAACAAGTTATCCTCTAATCCCTACGCTGTCTGGGTCATTTAACCAAGGGACCAGTAATAATACCCAAGCAAAAGGACGAGACACTCGAAACGGAAATCTACACTATTATTTAAAAATAAGATAGGACAGTATTTCCCAAGTGCAATGCAGTTAACAGGCATTATAAGAAAAAGAATTCCATGATTGGAAAAGTTTGGAAAACACTAGGTAGGTCAGAGACGGGTTCGACTTTGTGAATTTCCAAAAAGCAACAACAGAGCCGGTGCTTCCCCTGTTTCAATGCGATGCCTGTGGTGGGACCAGTGTCCCTGCGAGCTCACAGTGGGAAACACTGGAATAAACCCACAAAAACCATAGACACCCAGACCTAATTCATAGAAAACTTTCTATTTCACTGCCTCTGACAATAACCATCATTTATCAATTTCATTACCTTGCTCATTCCTAACACTTCTGTTAAACTAGATCTACCTCATGTGAACTAAAAATATTCTTTTTTTAAAGAGTATATTTATTTATTTTTAGAAAGAGGGGAAGGGAGGGAGAAAGAGGGAGAGAAACATCATCGTATGGTTGCCTCTCGCGTGCCCCCTACTGGGGACCTGACCCGCAACCCAGGCACGTGCCCTGCCTGGGAATCGAATAGGCGACCCATTGGTTCACAGGCCAGCAATCAATCCACTGAGCCACACCAGCCAGGGCTGAACTAAAAATATTCTTTACAAATACTTTCCAAAGTACTGAATAGCATAAATAAAAAACAATCTATAATAACCTTAGTGCCCTGAGATACTACTGTTGATACCCTGCTGCATTTTCCCATCTTTCGTGGCTCTGCACCTCCCCCCCCCCCCCCGGATCATACTGCACTTTCATCCACCACTCATGCACCCTCCCGCACAACAGCAAGCACCTTGTGATTCCCGCAGGGCTGCAGAGAGTGCGCCGCACCCTCGGCGTCCCTCAGTTGTCCAGGAAGTCACCGGGAAGCACGCGCCCTGTGCCAGGAGCTGGGCGGTCAATCGATGAATATAAACCATGACTACTGTTCTTCAGGAACTCACAGTCAGTCTGGGAATCTCAAGAGGCCCTATGAAAGGATTACAGCACCATTACGCGCTAAATGGAGAGACCTGGGCTGTTGTGGAGACTCCGAAGACCGTGCCGCCGGCGTGGGCTGTGGTGGTAACAGTGAAAAGGGCAGAGAAGGCAGAGCGAGGCCTGGGCCTGGAAGGACAGAAACGCTCTGAGCGACAGGAGGAGCAGAGTTCAGGGTCAGGAAGACACATGGTCTGCTCAGGACCGGCGAGGAAGACAGTGAGACCCCGTGACTACTGTGACACCCCGTCTTGCTCTGCTCAGACATGAAGCAGGTTGGATATTCAGCCAGGTTGGCCAAAGGGACAGGGCTGTCCAAGCTGCAGCCCGCGGGCCGCGTGCAGCCCAGGATGGCTATGGATGCGGCCCAACACAAATTCGTAAAGTTACTTAAAACATTATGAGTTTTTTTGTGATTACATGTCACAATGTATTTAATGTGTGGCACAAGACAATTCTTCTTATTCCAGTGTGGCCCAGAGATGCCGAAAGGCTGGACGCCCCTGGTAGAGTAAATTCAGTTGTCAATGCTACTTTATTTAGGAAGCACACACCCCACTGTCCGTAACAAACAGGGACAATTAAAGAATACATGTAGAGCGACAAGAAATTTGAATAGGAGACGCGTTTGTTCTCCGCTGTTTGAAATGCAGCAAATGCGCCTCCCAAGGTGCACCATTCTCAGGGTCATTGGCAATGAGCTGTCCTCTTGGTGCTCAGATTTAGGGAGAATGAATTTTGAGAGGGCGGTTTCCTTTCGCGAAAGCCCCTCACATCTCCAAGCACAGGGAACTCTGGTTTCCCTCCCCTCCTCTCCCAAACCGCAAGCCCAGTGACTCCGGTTTGATGTCTGCCCCCCTTTCTGACGGCAGTGGATGCTGAGTGAGCCTGGCCCCGCTTCCTGCTCCAGCCCAGCCCCTCTGGCCACTCCTGCGCGGCCATGAGAGATGCTGTCTGTCACCCTCACTCCCGATACCCCTCCCCACGCACGACCCCGCTGTTTATGACCTTGTACCTTCCATTCCAACCCAGCACTTCAGCCAACAGCTCTGGGAGCAACGCAAACTGGATTACACACCGGTTGTGCCGACAGGGGCCGTCACTGTGGAATCAAGCATCTCCCTTCTGCTGTCGCCCAGAAAGGCTCTGGTTACGCCACTTCATTACCAAGAAACGCTGGGGGCAGGCGGGCTCTCCCCTGCTCTGTTGCCTGAGTTGCTTCCATTGAGTGTTTTGGAGATAGGAGAGCGTGTGTGTGTGTGTGAGAGAGAGAGAGAGAGAGAGAAAGGCATCCTCTCCTGCACATGGCACGATGAGATGTAACCAAACTGTGCGTGAGCTTCCGCCCTGAGCTCTGCCTCAGAGTCAGGCAACCTCCTGAAACCACGCGGCAGTCCGCTACCTGCCAAGCCACGCGCGATGCCTGTCCCCTGCCGGGGGTATAAAAGCATCCGCGCCTCTCGGCCCAGCAGA